GATAGTCGAGTACAGTATGGGTTGCGCGATGTCACGCAAATGGTGATTGACGCAGGACAGGTGAACAAGGGCAAGTTGAACGTCGCGCTTATGGCCGTACTGAAGTGGATACTCTGAGGTAGACAGGGAGGTAATAACCTCGTGAATTAACTCTGCGGGGAGGTGGATCATGGCGAGTCTATGTGGCAGTTGGAATGTAAAAACTTTTGCACCCTGACGCGACTCCTTGAACAAGTGCGTCACGCGCATTGAATTGAGAATTAGTCATCAATTGAAATAATTTGACAAGGCAATGATGACACTGCCTGTACTCTCCCTTTTATTACAAACGTCCGTAGTCTTGTGAACTTTCTCTCACATAGGCCTTTCCTCGGATTGGCCAGAAGGCTTACTTTCTTTTCTTATTTCCATCTCTTTCCCACCCGTTATATATATAGGCCCTTCTAGCCTCTTGGCGCACAACCGCCGCAGCTATGTCCGGGCTCCTCAATAATCTATGGACGGCTGGTTCCGTCTCTCTTGCTCAGTCAGACCCTGAAGGTTCATCCAAAGCTCTTCTCATGGACCCCCTACCTTCTTCCAAGGAAGGTGCTCTCGACGAGCCTCTATCTGAGAAATGTGAACTCCGAATCGAAGGGATGACATGTGGATCTTGCGTAGAGGTACGTGGTCTCATCTCTTGCTGCTCAAGCATCTTCTCAATGAGTCTTGTAGGCTATCGAAGGCATGCTACGCGATCAAAAGGGCATCTACAGCATCAAGGTCGCTCTATTGGCCGAGCGAGGTCTCATCGAATACGATCCTGCTTTTTGGACGGTCGACAAACTAGTCAATGTGCGCTCCTTGCTCTGTGCCACGTCTCAAGTTGCTCATATTTCTGACAGGAAATATCTGACATCGGCTTTGACGCATCTTACATTCCTCCCGTCCGCGCTGACACTGTCACATTGCGAATTTACGGCATGACTTGCTCATCATGTACATCAACAATAGAATCAGGACTCTCTGCCGTACCGGGTATTTCCTCCGTCGCAATTTCGCTCGCCACTGAAACCTGCACCATTGACTTTGATCGTTCTATGATTGGACCGCGCGAAATGGTAGAGCGAATAGAGGACATGGGATTTGATGCAATGCTATCCGACCAACAAGACGCTACTCAACTTCAATCGCTTACTCGCGCGAAAGAAGTGTTGGAATGGCGGAAACGTTTCCTGTGGAGTATCACCTTCGCCTTGCCGGTCTTTTTTATTTCTATGATAGGACCTCGCATCCCGTACATCAAGGCAGTACTCGGTTTCAACCTCTTTAATGCCCTTTACCTCGGCGATATCTTCCAATTACTAATCACTACTCCGGCTCAGTTCTGGGTCGGTTCCAAATTCTATCGCAGTGCTTACAAGTCTCTCAAGCATGGAACTGCGACTATGGACGTCCTCGTTATGCTGGGAACTTCGGCAGCATACTTTTATTCCCTCTTCATCATGGTCTTCGCTATGTTTAATCGCACCCCAAACTACCGCCCCTTCCTCTTCTTCGAGACGAGCACCATGTTAATCATGTTCGTATCCCTTGGCCGATACCTCGAGAATAAAGCGAAAGGAAAAACGAGTGCTGCTCTCACAGACCTCATGTCCCTCGCTCCTTCTATGGCAACAATATACACCGATGCGCCTGCCTGCACACAGGAAAAAAAGATCGCTACTGAGCTCGTTGAGGTCGGTGACACCGTTAAACTTGTACCCGGTGACAAAGTACCCGCGGATGGTACCGTGATTAGGGGGTCTTCAAGTGTTGACGAAAGCGCTATCACTGGTGAAGCTGTACCTGTGCTCAAGCAGGTCGGCGACGCTGTTATTGGTGGGACCGTCAATTGTCTGGGAACTTTTGACATGGTCGTGACACGAGCTGGGAAGGACACAGCGCTATCGCAGATCGTGAGGCTTGTCGAGGAAGCTCAGACCTCAAAGGCGCCTATCCAGGCATTCGCAGATCGCCTCGCAGGCTATTTCGTACCCACTGTCGTCACGCTTGCGGCCATCACATTCGTTGGATGGGCAGTTGTCACGACCGTTGTCAGTGAAGACAGTTTACCCAAGATGTTCCTCAAGCATGGTGCCAGCAAACTTGCGGTATGCCTGCAAATGTGCATCAGCGTCGTCGTCGTGGCTTGTCCCTGTGCCTTAGGGTTGGCAACGCCGACAGCAATCATGGTCGGAACTGGTATTGGTGCAAAGAATGGTATCCTCATTAAAGGTGGACGTGCTTTAGAAGCGAGCAAATCCATTAAGAGGGTTGTCATGGATAAAACGGGCACTGTGACTGTTGGAAAACTTGGTGTCGTTGGCATGCACTGGGTCCCAAGCACTTCGGACAGTCATCTAGTGGATGATGACGGAGTATACGCAGGAGATACCGGGTTGGACGGTCATTGTGCAGATGGTTCAACGGGACGCAGGGAGATATTAGCTATGGTCAGCGCGGTTGAAGCAAAATCGGAACATCCCCTCGCCAAGGCAATCGCTCTTTATGGCAAGGATCTTTTGGGTCTCGAAAGTCCGGGGACCAACGTGGAGAGCTTCGAGAGTGTTACTGGTGCAGGCGTCAGGGCCGTTGTAACTTGTGGCGGAGCCAAGCACACTTTGCTTGTTGGGAATGCACGGTTCGTTACTCAGTCGGAGGAAGCTTACATTCCAAGTTCGCTTTCGAGCTACCAGAATCAAGAGACTGAATTGGGACGCACAGTCATTTTCGTTTCCATCCTGCCCAAGGCTACATCGGCCCTTCCCCTGCCAATTCTTGGCATCTCTCTGGCGGACGCACCGAAACCATCGAGCAAGCAAGCGATTAAGGCTCTTCTTGCTATGGGTATTGAAGTGAACATGATGACTGGTGATGGAAAAGCCACAGCACTTGCTATTGCCAAACAGGTTGGGATCCGACCTGAAGGCGTTTGGGCTGAAATGAGTCCAGGAGGAAAAGCAGCATTGGTCTCTGAACTCATTGAGAAGCATGGTAATGGTGTTGCAATGGTTTGTCTTCCTCTTCATTGAAAAATCTGTATGCTAATGTCATATCGATCCTATCTAAAGGTTGGAGACGGAATTAATGACTCGCCTGCACTTGTTGCCGCGACAGTTGGAATTGCTCTTTCCTCCGGCACCTCTGTCGCAATCGAAGCGGCCGATATCGTTCTCATGCGCTCTGACTTGTTAGATGTCGTTGCGGCCCTCCACCTCTCACGCAAAATCTTCTCCGTAATCAAACGCAATCTTCTGTGGGCGTGCATCTACAATCTTCTTGGCATACCGCTTGCTATGGGCTTTTTCCTGCCGTTCGGGCTGTACATGCACCCGATGCTTGCAGGCGCAGCGATGGCATTTTCTAGCGTCAGTGTTGTGACCAGTTCTTTGACGCTGAAATGGTGGCGTCGCCCAGAGTCTAGCGTGATGCTCAATGATGATCTACCCAATGCTTCCATCGGTGCTGGGTGGACTGGAATGTTTGTGGATAGTGCAGGTATAGTTTTAGACAGTGTGCGTGGGATCATGAGCGGAAGACCTGGGAGAGGTGGATATAGCCAGTTGCCAGTAGAGATGAGCACGACACTTGGTTCTGCGGCTCGTGTTTGATAGGATTTTTGGACTATCTATTGGTTTAATGTATTCTGTACAATGTATATTTGAAATGTTTTGTTGTTGAGTGTAAACTTGTTCTTTACCACGATGGCAAACATTGGAAGCGTTTTCCTGGGCGACAACACGCGCCATCGCATTCTGTCCAACACATCGCATTCTTCTCATTCTTCACCCTCTTCTTCCCCGCCACCTTCATCTCCTCCACCCTCGTCTATCGCTGCCGTCTTTCCTCGCTCAATTCCTTCTTCTATTCAGCAAATTCAGAAACAATCTAAACCACCAGCTACTCCAATCGACCCTCGTCTTGCACTAGATCTCAGGCTGCGTTGGCTGGAGGCCCTCCTCATTGGTATTGGTATCAACCCAAAATCTAGTCGTAAAGCTACCGAGGTTACTTCACATACCCTATGTCGTACCGCTGAGGATCTGCAGAGGCGTCTCGATGCTATCGTTGCCTCCAATGACGGACTCAAACGTTTCCTGGCACAATGTACGCACTCTCCGTACCCTGTTTAAAGTTCCTCGCCTGATCAAACATCTACAGACGACCAGCATGCTCATCTACTCACACCTGCATTCGGGCTCTCCCTCCCAGGAACAAGCCTTGACCCCGCGTCTGAGAACAGCACAATGTCTGCCGCGCAGGTTGAGGCATTGCTGGCCGAAATGGAACCAGATATACGCGCAGCAGAACGCGACATGCACGAGATTGAACAGTTGGAGGCTAAAGGGGTCACAGGCGCAGGGAAGCTTGGTTGTACGTGCTTCTCCACTTCACTATCGTTGCCCTTTTTTTGACTGGCCAATTTCGCAGCTTACGAAGAGCTCAAGCCACGTTTGGACAGATTATTAGCGCAACATCATTCGGATGTTGAATTAGCAGCATCGCTGGAACGTCGGATAGGTGCTCTGATGGAGCGGCATGCTACTCAGGTAGGTGCCACTACTGTTTGAAATTTAACGTGCGTCTAACCACTTGACTGCAGGTGGATGCTTTATCCGAACTGTTCGTGGCTTGGGACGATACTATCACCGATGTAGAAGATAAAGTAATGCGACTGGAGAAAGAGCGCAGCGAACGGCGGCGACTGGGACTTGACCAGTGATCTCCAAGACAGCCACTTTTATACCCATTTGTTCGTATACCACAGCGAATTATCTTTGAAATCCTTACAAGTATACGAACGAAGCTGCAGATGGATGTGAGTGGATGGACGCGTGAGTAGAAGAAATTCAGATACAGTAACACAGGCGATTGGGACGCACTACGTGAAACTTACCCTCAGCAAAAATGAAAAACACTATATGGCACGCAGTGATAGTTATATGGTCAAGAAACAAAAATTCTGTTTCAGCCTTGAGTTCCTCCTAGCCGACTTGAACGACTGACCTCGTCATACCAACAAAGCAGTACTAGTGACGCGCTCTACCACTGAGCTAAGGAGGACTGTTAAGTGACCGAAAATATTAACTTACACGCTCACCAGGATGCTCGGTGTCTCTGATTTGAGACCCGTTCCTCTGTGTGACTATTAGTATTTTCTACAATTCACTTATTACTACAACTACTCCATATCTACGGAACTATTTCGATGGCCTGGCGTTGCAGCGGTAGCTCTAACAAGGAGCTGATATCTAACTTGGCTGCGTCTCATATCATTTCGAATGATCAGGTCGCCCAGGTCAGTTAATGTCTTCAGCGTGCACATTGATTGTTTCGGCCCTATGATGCCAACAGGCAATGGCTCAAGTAGACCGCGCAAACTACGTTCGAAATCCTACCTTTGCGTATGAGGACTCTCCGCAGTGCGCGCCTCCGCATCTTGCATCCTTTTTCGCGCTCCTGATATGAGTATGTGCCAGATCAATTGGCTTTGGTGCGACTATTAGCGCGCCGCACATGGTTCGAAGCTTCCGGAACTTGCTTATTGACGACTAACAACGTAACGCCTATAGCATGCACACGCAGCCTCACACGTTATGTCGCACATCTACCCCGGCGCTCGTGTGCTTGATGTTGGTTCCGGCTCGGGATATCTCGCCGCAGTGTTCTATCACCTTGTCGGCCCCACAGGGACAGTTGTAGGCATCGAGCATGTCGATGAACTGACGAAATGGTCCATCGAAAATTTGCGCCGTGATGGTCTGGGAAAGGCGGTCGACGAGGGTAAGATTATCATGATCACTGGAGATGGAAGGCAAGGTGTGTTACTACGCTGTGTGATCGACATCCCCCCCTTGACACTGTATCATCCTTGTTAAGAGTACGGAAGTGCTGGTAGGCGCATCGTGCTAGTTACCACAATACACTCTCACAATGTTTACATCTAGGCCCTTACGATGTCATCCACGTCGGCGCGGCAGCACCCACCGCCCCGCCTAAACTGATCGAGCAGCTTGCGCGTCCTGGGCGCATGTTCATTCCCGTCGGTTCATACATTCAGTATATCCAACACATCGATAAAGATAAAGATGGCAATGTAACACACAAGGAGATCATGGGCGTTTCTGTGAGCTTCTCCGCTCCTCTTACTTCTTTTGGCTGATGGAATGGACAGTACGTTCCCTTGACGGATCTCGACAAGCAACAAGGGTGGTGAAGACCTTTGGAAGTCAAGATTCGATATAACAGTTATAAAATTATGTATGGTTCATGATCATTATGAGTTCACGATTTTTTTCTACATTTCATTTAGTTACAGTTGATTCGCATCAACCGCTACGTGTACATTAATATTGCTCTGCATTCTGTGTTCTGTGGCGTAAGTTTATCGTGGCCCAAGTTCATAACAAATAAATATGCCAACTGAAAGGCTTCATTTGTTCGTTGTAACGGCAGAACTGACCAGAAACCAGTGATAATCTATAACGCACAACTCCCGATGCGTACTGAATTTCGCTAAATGACGAACAGGTGAGATAGTTTGCATTATTGCAATTCAAGCTCTGATTATGACGAGCGACATCGAACACTAGTTCCACCGTAGACTTGTGATCTTATGCTTGAGACGCTACACCGTATCTGTGTTGATGTAATCTTGATATATCACAATTTCCAAGGTGCTGGGAGTAGAAGTTTTGGTTTTGTCGGGACGCTACAAAAGTTTCTTTGGCCATCATACTATTTAAGCATATAAAGTCAAGCGTATCAACATAAAGTATTTAGGTCAGTCACTATCCAGAGTGTTTATCAAGCATAAAAGTGTCCATAGATCATAAGAAAAATCATGTCCGTCCATTGTTACTACTTCCTGTCTGTTACATCGTCTTCCGCATCACTCGCCATTGTCCTTCTTGAGAAAGATGCAGACGCAGCCGCGCTACTCCTTAACACACTAGACCGCCTCACAGGGCTGCCGCTCAGTCGATTTGCAGCACGTGGCCCTCCTGGCGGCGGGGAGCTGGTGCCCGAAATGCTGTTCCTGTTACTGAAGTTCGACGCTAAGTTCGCGACATTTCCGTTTCGCGGACCTCGGGTGACTCTCGCTGCGCGTGCTGCTCCTGTCTGCCCTGAGCCTGCGCGAGAAAGACTCGAGCGTCCATTGCCAAGAATGATATCTTCAGGAGGCGATGGGCTCCTTGATACCTGTTTCGTGGGCGACGGGCTTGATGCACCCGGTCCACCGGGAACGCGCTTCTGTGGTGTGGGCGGAATCACTGTAGTAGAAGGGGTGACTGCAGAAGCAGTAGTGGGCGGAGGAGATGGTGGCGGCTCAACAAATGCCGGGCGAGTTGGAGGTGGAGTGTCCAGATCAACCTCAGGTGGGGGCTCCTTGAAGGCTGGGCGAGGGGGCTGATTATCGAACTCTGGGGGTGGTTCTTTGAAGGTTGGTCTATCGACTGGAGGGACGATAGCAGGAGGTGGGGGTGGAGGGGCGGGGGCTGCTATTGGTGGGGGTGGAGGAGGAGGTATCAGTGCAGGAGCTGCGGGTGACTCCGTTATATGAGGTGGTGGAGGGGGTACAAGTGGCGGAGGAGGTGGTGGCGGCACTATTGTCGCAGCTACCGGGCCAGGTTGACTTACAGGCAATGACGGAGGCGGAGGTGGCGTTGCACGTCCTATCGATGGGGGAAGAGATGGAAGTTCGGCTGATTTAGGTGATTTCATGAGCGACGGATTCTGCGCAAGCTGTTGGGCAGCCAGGAGCTGTTTGGGATCGGCGCCGACAGAGATACGGCTCCTGCTCACACGCATATCAACCGGCTTTGTGCGCTTCCGTACAGGAACCTTGCGCTCAGACTCCCGTTTCTTGCGGCTGATAGTCGGGGGAAGGATTTCGTCATAATTTTTGAGCAGATCAATGAATAGAACTGTTCCAAGGATTAGATTCTCAAAACTACTTAGTCCAAAGGGCAAAATACTTACGAGTAGGATGACGATCTTGGATGGAGATTTGAGTCTCGACCTTGGGCCGAACAATGGCTATAGAAATAAATAAGTTGTGGTCGAATGTTCAGATGAAACTGGCTTACTTCGGCCAACGGAGAGTGCCAGCTTCGTAATGTAAACCTCATCCGCCTCCTCGACCTTGGTGTTTTCCATCAATCTGCAGGTGATACATCAGCATCGCAATCAAAGACTTCCAAGTATCTTCGACTGACGTTCTAAGATGCTTGACAACGAGGTCCAATACATACAAGTGCACCCTCGGAAGCCTCTGCAGAGCAGAACTTAGGGCCTGTATGTGTTCTTCAGCAGAGCTCTCTGCCTCTTTATTTGCGGTAGATCCAACAGTGGGATACAGCTTTCGCAAGTCATCCCAACCCTCATATAATGCCAGAGGTGGATGAAGTTCCAAAATCCAAAGCTTGACAGCACTGGCAATAACAGGTGCGTCGTACTTGGCAAGGAAATCCGCTGGTATAGGTTGGTCGATGGGCAGCGCATTGAGAGCTTCACGAAGATGGTGCACAGCAGGAAGAGGGACTTCATAGATCCATGACTTGCGGCGTTCTAAGTCCATCCATATTAGACGAAAACTTCTAAGAAAATGACGTTGCCTCACCGGTGTCGCTCGGGAGCCTCTTGTAAGCCTCTTGCAAACCATCTAACAACGCCGTTAGCACTGGTGGAACTAACTCTTTCTTCTCTTCGCCCGTCGTAAGCGCATGCCATCCCCCTTCTGCCCAACGCCTCAGGTCAATGCCAAACACTACATCCGATTCATCATGCGCAACACTTTCGTACACTTGTGCGTCAGGGCGGAACGGCCCAGTGCGGTACCGTTCGATGAGGGCTGTCAAGTCGTTCTCTGGTTGATACGACGCAATCAGGGTTGCTTGACGCTCGATGGACGGTTCGAGGGACTTGGGAAGGTTAGAAAGAGTGCCCTGATATTGTAGGAGCACTGCGAAACACAATCAAAATGTGAAAGCATGAACAAAGTTAGACACTCACCCGTTTTGACTGCACGCAGGCGCTCTGTTTCCCAACGTTGAAGTAATTTCAACGTATCTTCAAGGTGTTCCTCAAGTGCAAGACGTTGTCGATCAAGCTTTCGGACCGCGATGCGATACGCATTGTCAGCAATATCCGCATTATGCCTGGCTTTTACATATGCAGGTTCTGCGTTGTTAGCATTGGTGAGGACTTTGTTCACGAGGTTGACTAAGTTCCCTCCTGTCCTCGTGATAGCGACTCCAGCTTGCCCGAGGGCAGCCGCGCCCTGCTCAGCTGCTGGTTTGGCCTGTTTAGCGTCTAAGTTGAACGCCTATAAAGAAAGAATGACATGATTAAAGCAATTTAAGAACTCAGAAGCATTATCATACCTTGGGGCGGAACTGGTAGAATGCATCCTCGGAGCTCTCGAACTGGTTGCCAAACTCGCCAATACGGCGCAGCAACCCATCGCGTTCTGTCAGATCACGAGCGGCATCCTCAGCAACATCGAGATTTCCACCGAAACCGGGCACATTGGCATTAAGCCAGGATACAAATTCGTCTCCACTAAAGCAGTCCTGATATTCGCCAATGACAGGGAAGCGCACAGGCCGCAGAGGAAGCTCAACAGAGGCTCGGGTCAAAAGTTGCGAAATTGAGGCAGGCGATAGAGATAGCCCTCCAAGTAGCATTTGCTCAGGCGGAAGGGGCGCTGAAGATTCTAGAGGAGACATTGGTGGAGGGGATGCCATAACAGGCGGTGTCTCCGGACGATCCTGGTCGACGGCCCTACCTTTGCCTTTGTCGACTTTGGGCGGAGGTTGAGTTTCATCTTCAGCAGAAAGGGCAGATTGTAAGGCGCCGGCGCTCCTCTTCTGTATTTCCTTTAGTCGCTGTGAAATACGTTCGGAGACGCTGGCCGTGCGCGTGGGTGGAGTACGGCCGTCAGCAGGACGCAGTCGCGGCGAAGATGTATATTTATCTGGAATGTTCTCAGTATTCGGCGCGAACTTTGCACTAGAAATTTTTATTAAGTATCGACCTTGGTAGTGCGGTAATGCAGTAAC